CTTAATTTACAGAAAAACAGCGAGAGACAAAAATTGTTTATTTTCTTCTCATAAAGTTCTGAGGTTTTTTAATATCATATTTTCTCATGTTGATAAAAATCTTAAAAATAGTTGCCAATAAGCCAATGAACACAAAGTTACATGTAACGTATCTGTTAGTTGTAATTTCTCACTCAACAATATACCCGTAATATAACACGTGTGTTATGTTACAGTTATATTGTTCAGTGGAAAATTACAATTAACACATACGTTACGTGTAACTTGTATTCACTGGGAAGAAAATGCAGTACTAAAAAGTTGATAAAAAATTCTAAAAAAATTCTTAAAGCTCTATGGAAAGAAAATAAATAATTTTTGTCTCTTGCTATTTTTCTGTAAAGTTGATAGTACTTGAGTAAAAAATTATTGAAAATCAATATTTGATGATTTTTAGTAATTGTGATATCTTGTTAATCAGAATTGGGTAAGTTACTTTTTTTTAAACTAAGTTAAGTTAAAGTTAACAGCTTTGATTGAATTTAACTTAATTAAAATACAAGTAAATTTATAATGAAATTAATTGAATTAAAAGTTAAGTTAATAAAAAAAGTAATTGAAAAGTTAAAAGTTAAATTTGGTCCGAATGAATTACCAAAAAAAGAAAAAGAAAAAGTTTGATGATTTTACATAATTTTTCCTTTCTCACAGCATATTTATTAAAGAATCTGATTATTTTTGTTCACAAGTAACGATATTATACAATATAAAATTACTAAATTATATACTCATTATCCTCTCGCATTGTGTTTGAGGATTGACTTAAAAAAAAATCAAATTAAAAGTTAATAGTTACCGATAAAATGTAACTAAATTAAGTTAAAAAGTTAACAGTCTAAAATGTAACTAAGTTAAAATTAATTAACTTTTTAACTTTTTAAGTTAACTTTTATCTTTTTAACTTAGCACTATCCAACCTTGTTGTTAATTATTGCGAAAATTGCAAAATGGTAGAGGATTTTTCGACTCAGTTTAGTCCGCTCTATCCCTATGCGATAGTTACTTATCAAACACCCTGTATAAATAAAATTAGTTACATGTAATAAAATTTAATTTCTGCATGAATAAGATAAATAATTTTTGTTTTTACGTGTATGAACGCTTGTTAAATACAAATATTGTTTCTTTTAGAAACATGCATGTATATTGTATTTAATTATTGTATTGGGTATGGGAATAAGTTTCCGCCCATTGTGTAGAGAGATGCCGTTAGTAGCACTGCTTGTGTGTTGATAAAACGGCAACATGTATATTTGAAAAGTGTGTGTTCAAGCTTTTGAGCCCAGTAGTTGACGTTCGAAGCATAAACAAGAGTAACTTTATTTCGTTGAAAATGTCGGAATTTATTCCAAAAAAGCAACATTTGCGGGAAATTTTACTCCATTATTTCATTTTAAAGAAAAGTGCTGCGGAAACGCATCGTTTGCTCATAGATATTTACGATGAGCATGCTCCATCGAATACTACTTGTAAAGAATGGTTTCGGCGATTCAACAATGGTGATTTCGACGTGCGTGACAAAGAACGCGAAGGTGCACCGAAAAAATTTGAAGATGCAGAATTGCAAGCATTACTCGAAGAAGATCCATGTCGATCGCTCGATGAGTGGTCAAAAGAATTAAATGTTGATAGATCCATTGTTGGAAAACGTCTACACGCAATGGGAATGGTGCAAAAAGAAGGAAATTGGGTGCCATACAAATTGAAAGAGAGAGACATGGAAAGACGTTTGGTCACGTGCGAGATGCTACTTCAACGACAACAAAGGAAGAGTTTTCTGCATCGTATCGTGACTGGCGATGAAAAATGGATCTACTACGATAACCCTAAACGGAATATCCATGCTTCGAAGGTTATGTTGTCCATCTGGTGGGATCAAAGGGGTGTTGTATATTATGAGCTACTGAAACCGTCCGAAACCATTACTGGCGATCGTTATCGACTACAACTGATATGTTTGAACCAAGCTTTGAAAGAAAAACGACCGGAATGGGACAATAGGCACAACAAGCTGATTCTGCTACATGATAACGCTAAGCCACACGTTGCAAAACCGGTCAAGAAATACTTGGAAAAAGTGAAGTGGGAAATTCTGCCCTACCCGCTGTATTCACTGGACATTGCTCCTTCAGATTTCCATTTGTTCCAGTCCATGCAGTCGGCCCTTTCTGTAGAACGATTCAATTCTTATGAAGATATCAAAAAATGGCTTGATGAATGGATCGCTTCAAAACAACCAGATTTCTTCCTTCGAGGAATCCGTTTATTACCTGAAAGATGGGAGAAAGTTGTCACTTCCGATGGAGCATACTTTGAATGAACTCACTTTATATTGTTTTGTTTAAATAAATACATCTTTTTTACTAAGAAAGGGCGGAAACTTATTCCCATACCCAAAAATAATCTTTATAAACAAATATTTTACACAAACACACACATATATTATATATGTGTATACTATATGTGTGATATATAAAAAAATACTTTATATACATATACAGGGTGTTTCCAAATTAAATGGCAAAACTTCGGGAGCGTGTAGAGGAGTAAAAAACTAAGAAAAAAAGTCCTATAGACATATGCTCCTTTTTGCTTTGTTTCGCAGGAAATCACGAAAAAAGAAAAAAATATATTTAATTTATTATTT